TGTAAAAGCACTGTGATCCACACACCCATGCTGTTCCAGTTATTCACGTCCCTAGTCTTGCTGTACATAAAGCGAGGCACGGCCGGCTGTCATCAGTGGGAAGGCGTCCAGAAGCTGCTGCCGCATGCCCATCCAGCTGGCATCCAGCAGGAGCGCAAACTCCTGGTAGCACTGTTACTTCTACCACCACGGCCACTATTATTATTATTGTTATTATTATTACTATTATTATTAGTGTTATTATTATTATTACTATTATTATTATTATCATCATTATTATTATTATTTTTTTTTATTGCTACTACTACTAATAAAAATAATAAGATAACAATAATAATTACTTGTAACTAATAATGCTCTCAGCACATCGACCACGGACTTGACCAGCACACCACCAAGCACAACACCAAGAGACCACCACGACAGCACGGCCACACTGCTTCACACAAGTACCGGTAGAGGCCGACATGATTCCCACCTAGTGGCAGGATCCAGGACTACAGCACTGATGTTTCACTCCACACTGGCGGGATGTACGAGCACGGCCAACATTTGTTCAGCCAATAATTAGGTGCGGGATTCACGGGCTTCGACTTCTAGTGTGGCCATGCCTTGGAATTTCCCTTGAATCCGGTAATTAGCCCGGAAGGGGCCCCGCGGATTAAAAACGTGGTCAAAAACATGTGCACTGCCGCGTTTTGGGAACATTTCCGGCGGCGCGCTGTGCGGCCAACCCAGCCAGGTCTCTTTATTCTTCATGCTTAGGCATTAAACGCCATTATGTATGCTGAGTACAGTAGCACACTGTTTCCGAAAATGGTATCCTCGAGTCTATTATACTACTACTGTGTTAAGCGGGACTCTATGGGGAAACTACGATATACTTTTTAAACGATTGCCAGAACAATACGATAACAATTACTGCGATTACTCGGGCGATTTCTTAAACCACAGGATGCTATTTCTATGATTATTATTACGATTATTATCACTACTACTGCTACTAGTAGCCTTATAATTCAAACCCTTTCTTAAACCCAGGACCCGAAGCTCCCTTTTTTGCATCGGGCCTTTACCACCGCCCGGTAATCCCCACATTCGCTCGACGAAGTGTGGAGACAAGAAGCATCAAGCATCGCGCATCGACAGTGCTCATGACAGCCGACGCACGCGCTCTCAACCCACAGTTGGCAAACTTCTGTGAGCATCAGGAGATACTGAAAATCCTTAAAGACATCGCTAGCCGAAGCTCCCTAAACCCTAAACCCTAACTTAAAAATATAGGAACCCTTGTAGAACCCTTGTAGACCCTCCTTAAAGGGAACCCTGCTCTAACTATTCACACTTAAAACCCAGGACCCGAAGCTCCTCCTGGTCCATGCCGGCCCTTGGCACCTCGACGGGCCCGACCGGCCCGACCCCGGCGGGCCCGCTGGGGGGCCCTTTGGGCTGTTCCGTATCAGCTTGAGCCATGGCTGCGGTTCTTAGGGGTTTAGGGTGTGGGTTTTGTTTCTTTAGACGTCCCTTTTCCCTGGGCTTTAGGGTTTAGGGGTTTAGGGTTTAGGGCTGCGATAATAAAGAAACCATATCAAGTACTATAGATCCCTATTATTATGGTAATTTTAAATCAATCCTTAGCGATAATCCAGTAGCACCTGCGACTCAATGCCTCAGGCCTTCAAGGCTTTTGGATTGGCTGAGTTTATGGGCCCCCCCCTTCCTTGGAGGGGTTGGGGCTCAGGTTTGTCTTAGGCTCCCTTGGCAAGTAGGACTCTCGGAGGCATCTATAGACTTGAATGTAGTTCGCTGACCCGCAAGACCTGCCGAAACCTCTATGCTTAAGGACTTAAAGCTTGAAACGTCTCTGAGTCCCTAAGCCTTTGCCTGCTCGCGGGCTCGCCACAATGCTCTTGACATGTGTTGCTTCCTTGTGAATGGACCCGGCAGAGCAAACTACAATTGCAGAAAGCCATCGGGATCTGCTGAAGGACTATCTCTGAGCCTCGGCTGGGGGAGCCCGGGCCTAAACATGTACTATTTTTTTCCCTCTCGCATTGCTTGGAATGTACTAGTTTTAGGGTTTAGGGTTTAAAACTTTAGGGGTTTAGGCGTCAAGTCCGGTTTCAAAAAAAAAGGGGTTTAGGCGTTAGGGGTTTAGGGGGTTACGGTTTGGACTTTAGGGTTTATTCCAAACTCATCCTCCAGGCAACTTCGAGCACAGCATGTCTTTCTGCCGCAGCTTCGGGCCTTGCCGCTCTTCGAACTGCATTTGGTCAGCACTTCTGGCTGAATCTGAAACTGCTGTGTTTTCTCTCTTCTTCAACAACCGGGCCCCAAAAAGTTCAAAAATTTTAAGATAGAGCTAATGTATAAGGCCAAAAAGTTTAAAGTTCCCCCGTTCACTATCTAATTTTGTTTTATGCAGCATGCCGGGCGTAAGGACCTCATATCTTGGAGCTTGTGGCAGCCCGTCCCTGCCTGGCCCATCATTCTCTCAATCGGCCGCCTCTTCTGAAGATGCGTGGTGGTTCTCCAGCACGCCGACCGAGAAGAGGTGCACCTTCAACCCAATCTCAGGCCACTTCTTGACCAATTCAAGATAGGCTGGCAATGTGAGCACGTGGCCAGCGTGGTCCTTGATATAGGAGAGGCAGGCCTCTTCGAGATGCTTTGCCTGAAGGAGATGTGCTTGGCAAAGGATGCCACAGACGTGTGACGCGTCGATATCTTCGGAAAGCTTCGCTTCGCACCAAAGCTGGAGTCGTTTCACTTGATACTTGTGGCTCACGGCGAGGAGCGCCTGAATCCGCGATAGCTGACGGCTTTCGCTCTCTGTCTCGTTCCCACTGGCAGACATCAGCTCCTTGACCTCCGGCAGGCGATCGGTGTAGAGGAACTGCAGAAAGACTCTGAAGGTGGCGGCCTCGCAGTCCTCGATCTCGATGACTTTCGAGACGCTCTCCTGCATGCCTCCCGTCAGCTGCTTGCTGAATACCTCGGAGCGTGAGCAGAGAACCTGCGAGTGCGCATGGATCACCTCGTCCTGCACCATGAACCGGACGTCACTACACTTGCCTTGCTCAAAGAGCGTCTGCATGTCGTGGCAGATGGGATCCGGAAAGCTCCACCGAGGGCCCAAGAGGCTCCGACTTTGGCTCTCCCTCAGGACGGACTTCAAGCTCGAACTTCACGGTCAGGGTGTCATCTTCCACCCACTCGGACTGCAGCAGCTCCTCATAGCTCATCCCGAAGATGCCCAGCGAAGCAGGAGGCTCACGTGGCCAATGCACATCCGGGCCGAATGCAACATCACTGTCGCCTTGCCCATCGTGGATGACACGTCGGGTCTTGTCCCACTGCACGAACTCCCCAGTCTGTGCCTTGACGCATATGCGATATCGAAGCACAAGCCTGCTGGAACTCTTCAGAACGATTGCGACAGATCCACAGGGCCCAGCATCGTACTTGGAACCTTCTTCCTCCCACAACGTTCGTCGAGGCGACGGGTTGTATGCAAACTCGAAGGATTCGCGGCCCAGGTCGAAGCTCGAGGACCACACGGAATTATCATACCATTGATTCACATCATCCCCTTGCTGCCATAGCATGTCACTCAACCAGGAAAAGCCTGTGATTCTCCAAACGTATTCGCCGCGAGCGACCATGTCGGCACAGCTGGTGCTTTCTCCACCAGTCGCTTCCATCACGAAGTGCTTGACGGGGTCAACTTCAGGTTCCAACGTGACCCGCTCCTGATCAATCCTCTGTCGTGTTGCGACCTCGCAATCATTGCGCTCTTCTGCTGTCCTGCGCATGGTTCTGATGCTTTGGAGCTCTCTCCGCAGCCTCCGGCGCTCTCTGGCTTGCGCGGTCTCGTCTTGGAGTCCCTGGAACCTAGCCTCCTCGGCTTCCAATCGTCGCCTTTGGTCCTCGATCGCCGCTCGCAGCTCCTCGGCAGACATCGACGTCGGGTCCTCCATGGCAACGGCCTCGCACTGCAACTACCCGCTGAGCTGAGGCGAGATGAAACGGCCTCTCGAGAAACAAGGCACGTCTCTGGCCCCAATCGTGCCTGAGGCCTGAGGCCCACACCAAAACCGCACCCGTGGATCTGGATCTAGCCCCGAAAGCCCCGCGCCCCCGCAACTTCCGCGGACAGAAGCAGTTGCAGAATTCGTGGGCCGTAGCATAGACAGGTCGAGCTCTTGCTACACCGAAGGACCTAGAAAAGTTTAGTGTGCACAGCGACACTTCGAACATCTTCCAACGTTCGACAATTGTTTCTAAACTAAAGGGATCAGGATCGAAAGTGATGTAGACCTTTGACGGGTAAGTCGTGCTTTCAAGGATCTTAATATTGAAATTCCAATTGAACTCCTTTTTCAAGCCGAAAGATTTATGCATAAGAGGAATGCACTTCTGCACTACACCCACTCGCCTGATGTGGCCCTCTTGAACTGAAAACTTCTAGAGGCCCTCGGACCAACACCGGTTGCAGTTGAGCGATAGGGAGTTCTAGACCAGAGTTCGCAGAGTACTACAGACCAAATTCACGCTGTGTAGTAGGTGCTAGCTGTGGAAACACGGCTGGAAGTAGGACCCTATTTGGAATGGTGCTGTAGGGGCGTCATCATACAATATGACTACTGAGTCGTATCTGCGATGGAAATTCAATTGACAACTCTATGCCTCTTCCTTGCCTCTGGTTGTTTTTTCGCCCAACCCCAGCAGACATCCAATTTATGAGCACAACCCCGGGACCCAAACCTCGAAACGCCCTCGTCCGACACTCGGAGAATGAGAGAAGAAAGCCCCCCGTGCCCAGCCACAAGAGACTAGAGTCAGGGTTTTGGGGTACATTATAAATATACTATAATCATCAAAGGTAGGGAACTGATCATCAAGTGTACTAACCTTATTATCAAGTGTAGGGGCCTTCTTATCAAGTGTAGGGACCTTGAGCCAAAGAAACCGAAGAAACGAAGGCCCTTGCCGAGGGCCTCGGCCACTTCGCCACTGCTCTCACGAGCCAGGGCCTGAAATTGTCGACAAAGACGCGAGGGTTTCGGTGTGCGGCCGTTTATGCTTTGGAGGTTACAAGTCACGGTATTACAGTTTAGGAGATTTGGGGGAGGCTTATGGGAGTTGTGGTGGTTGCCTAGGAGTTTTTGTCGGTTTATGGGAGTTCTGAGGTTTATGGCATGGTCGGTGGTCTCTGGTAGTTTCGGGGGCGCTGTTCCTAAGTCATAGCATCCACAAACCTTCAACCCTATACCCCAAAACCTATGAGAACCCTGAAACCCTAAAACCCTACAAAAGCAGGCCGCATGCCTCGTGGAGCTGTGTGCCGAGTACCACTGGGCCCGAGGAAACTTCTCTGAGGCTGGTCTCCGAGGAGCCTGCGGGTTTCGGGTTTACGGCGGCTTTTCGTTACACTTCTCTTTGTGGGTCTTGGGTTTTTGAGGGTTTCGGCGCTCACACTCGGACAAGCCAGGCGAGGCATGTGGTTAGGGTTTTTTTCGGGTTTCCCGGGGAGAGAGTTGAGCTTGGAGCTTTCGACGTTGTTCCGGAGGAAGCCGCCAGGCCGCAGGCGTTTTCACGTTTCTTACCTTTGGTTAGTCGGGAATGGAGGAATGGGGTACAATTATGACTACGATTACTACCAAACTTCCACTCCCTACTAACCAAAGGTAAGGTTTTTTTCTAAGATTGCTGTTGGAATCGATAAGCTGCAGGGATCCGGGCTTCGTAACTGCCACAAACCCTAAGTCCGAAGTTTCTTAGCAGCTTTCGGGCTTTCAGGGATCTGCATGTGAATATGGTATAGAGCTGCCTTAGGTGAAGCCTTAGGTGAAGCCAGACTCACCCTAAGCAGCACGGTTGGTGTGCAGGTGGCACGGTGTGGATTCTGCAGATGGAGCGCCTGGCGAAGTGCAGGGCACCCGGAGGGACGTCCGCAAGATCCTGTCAAAGCCTCACGGCAAGCTTACCTTTGGTTAGTAGGGAGTGGAGGAATGAGGTACAATTATAACTACTATTGCTACCTCTTCCATTCCCTACTAACCAAAGGTAAGCAAGGCACAGCTTCAGTGTTTCCATGGTGCAGGATTGAGCTGTATCTTGTTCGTGGTTGCTTTTGTTTGCTGGGCGGAGGCAAAGCCTGAACCAGCAAACCCTATCGTGCCCCAACGGCAACCCCTCGAACCCCAAAAATTACCCCAAGCACCTTGACCCGACAGGAGCCTGACTCGCGAACCTTCGCAAGGCCTGGAAGCATGACCCCTAAATCGCGATGCGGAACACCCTTCAAAGTCCCTTAGCAGGATCCTGCATAGAGTCCTGCGCAACACGAAACACCAGGGGAACAGGATCGGGTGTTTGCGTTTGCAGGCTTCACACATCTAGGCATTCAGGGTTTCTCCTCACGGTAGGAGGAGGGAAGCTGCAAGGAGCACATCAACAAAAGTGTCGGTCCTTCATGCTTCATGCTACACACTAGACCCAGGGGTCAAGGTTGAGGGGTGAAGGGAAAGCTCTAAGTGGGGAGATGAAGTATGAGGGTTCCAGTGACGTGTTTCTGAGGCTCTAAGCTCCGGCTTACAGCTTCTGCGAGCTCTTTAAGGGCTTTCGGGGTTTAGGGGTGAAGCTCTTCGGATGGGCAGAAGGGACTGGACAGGATGTAGCCATTACTATTGGGGGATTGACGGCTGTTTGTCTAGATCTTGTCCTGAAAGCTAAAAGCCCTTCTTAAGCACGTTCCGGATGTGCTAGCATGGCACTGATCTGATAGCACATTCGTGATCATAATAAGCTGCTGAACCTGTGTAATCATCTGCATCTATGCCTGATGCGAGCTGTGTACTTGACTGAATTCTGCTAGGATAAGGGAGTTTCCAAAAATTAGGGGTACCTTATTTCTGGGTTGCGGAAACTACCATAAGGTCAGCATGGCGTGCCCAGACTTCAATGCTCATCGATATCATCTGTCCAAACTTATTGGGCAACTGATCCCCGAAAGCTCCTAAACACTTTCAGCGAAACTTGAACTAGACCCAACAACCCTGAACCTCACCGAGCCACCCGATTTTGGCGAAAGCTTAGCTGCGCCTTTTGGTCCTCGACCTCTTCGACTACAGATCTCCTCCATCACCAGGAACTTTGTAGGGGCTTATATAGGTGGTTCCGAAAACAGGGGACCCTCATATAGGGGATCCCTATATTAAGGACCCCCAAATTAAGGTATCCCTTCTTCTTCTTTTCAGAAACTCCCATATGAGTCAAAACCTGTTGATGACCAGCCCTGCAGCAAGCTCTGCCCGAAAAAGCCTCTGGACAAAAAACAAACAGCCGAGCAAGCTTGCACGCACTGCCACATTCGCAGGGGAGGATTTGGAAGTGTAGGTCTAGGGCTAAGAATTTAAAGATTGAGGTTTACAGCTTTAGGGTTAACGAGCTCAAGAATTTAGAGCCTTAGGGCCTTTTTGAGTATACTTCAAGAGCCCAGCATGCACCTCAAGGCAATGTTCAGGAAACCCTGAACCTCACATCTTGTGTCGGTCCGGTGCAGGCCGTAGAGTGCACTCCATTGTCACCATGACCCGTGGGCCATACCATCTAGGAAACTTGTATCCCCGATCCGAATCCTGAACCCGGGGCCCCCAAAGCCCAAGCCGTAGGCTCCCAAAAGCCCTGCATTCCCTTTCTTCAACTTCTGCTTCGTCCTCGCACTCCGGGAAGCAGCTTCGGTTCTTGGCCACCTCAAGCTCTACGCGAGGCTTCGGGTTTAGGGGCTTTGTGGGTCTGGGGTTTGGGGCCTTCTGCTTTAGGTTGGCTTGGGGTTTAGGGTTTAGGGTTTAGGGTTTAGGGTTTAGGGCTTAGGGTTTAGGGTTCTTGGTGCCTGGGGTTTCGCTGCTCGCCGCGTCGCAGGGTTTATGAGGGCCTTGGGCTTTCTGACTCGCACAACTTGAGCTTATAGACTCTCTAGACGTTACTTGGAGGATCATGGGACTTAGTAACTAGGGTTACTATTAAGGTAACTATACTTCTAAGTACTTATAACCCCAATTAAGGTATTTATAACCATACTTACTAAGTCCCATGATCCTCCAAGTAGCCTCGAGATCTTTCATGTGAGGACATGACGGCCTCACAAAGCTGCATCAAAAGCACAATGCCCTGAACAAGAAGCCCTACTTCGCGCCGGGCTCTTGAACCCCAACAGCGAGCCAATGTAAAATCTTGCCCTCTGCAAAAGGAATCCTGGCGGAAAGCTCCAAACCGCCAGAAATCCACACCACAGGCAGCAGATGAAAACACCTCCAAAGTGATGAAGCAATGGCTATCATTTAACCCTGCAGCTGTCTCGGGTTGCCCAAAACTCTTTGTAATATTGTATCTAATCATGCAGTCAATAGTACACCCCAAAAATCCTGTTATAAACAGAATAGATAGATAGACAGGTAGATAGATACTTAGGCAAGTAGACAGACAGTCTCATAGACAGACAGGCAGGCAGATAGATCGATAGATCTTAATGTTGAAACTGAACAAGATGCAAAAAGTTTGGGCTCTGGATTTAAACCTCAATAAGCACCGTGGCCCTAGTCTGATCGCTTGGCTCCTGTCCTCAAACTCTAATCTAAATATCTCCAGAGGAGGAGGAGGAAGAGAAGGAGGAGGTCGAGGCACGAAGGCCAGGCACAGGGCAACGGCATCGGCGTCCGCTGCAGTCGCCTCCTTTGCTCAATTCTGCTGAGGGACTTTGAGGCTATTGGTTTAGAGTTCAGGATTTAGGATCCTTTACGATGTTTACGACTGAAGTAGTTCAAGCTTTGTGGGGCTCAGGGGGCTTGTGGAGTTTAAGGCTCTGTGGGTTTACGGTGGGGTTTCTTTATAGGGCTCGAATACGTACAAAAGGATGCAACCACTGTCTTCAGAAGTCTTGTCTTGGATGCACAGAATAAAGAAACTGCTTCTTTTCGTGCATAGAGTTGCACACGGTCCGAAGCTTCCTGGTTTGGGATGTACCTTCTGAGGCTGAAAGCCTGGTTTGTTAAAGGGCCATGTCAAATATTAAGTATGCCTAGAGATTTTGGCATTCAGGCTTCAGGCCAATCCTACCGAAGCCTGTTGGATTGACTTCGGGCCAGCACCCCTGACCCGAATCGGCACGCCAATCCTGAAATTCCCTCCATCATGACCGAAAGTCCACCAACCCTCGATCCCAAATCCTGATCCCTCAACCCTACTTAAAACTTAAACCCCATCTAAATCCGTCAACCCTATACACCACAGCCCAATACCCTTGATGGACGAAGGCATCCGGAACCCCACGTCCTCAGCTCAGAAACCCTATGCTGTACACTAAACCCTAAACCCCAAGCCCTCCACCCTAAAGCCTATACCCCAAATGCCCTAAACCCTAAACCCTAGACTCCAAAACCCTTTCACACCTGGGGTGGTGTGAAAACCCCGTGTTCAGTTCCTATACGCTAAATGGCGTTATCGTTTTTTTTTCTTCTTATCGTTTTCCCATGAAAGAACCTCTTACTGAAGTGTAGTACAACTGTAGTATACGGGACATGGAAACATTCGTATATCGAAGGCAGTGGTTGTGCTTCTTTGGCGTGAAGTAGGTTTAAATATACGGGATATGAAGCTGCAAGCTTAGTCTGGTAGGATTCCGATGGAGACCTTTTCACTCCGCGCTGGAGCTGTGCGTTTCGAATCCGTGCCAAAATGCATTCGCGAGGTTGGTGACGAAGCGGATTGTGCGTGCTCAATTCGCCGTGAAAAAGTCCAACTTGGCCCCATGCTCCTCCCAACCCCGAGTGCGCGGTCCCGAATGCATTTAGAATCCGTGCCGAAATGCATTCGTGATGTTGGTGACGAAGCGGTTCGTGCGTGCCCAAATCGCCGTGTAAAAGCCCAAGATACCCCGCACTCCCAAACCCGAGTGCAGGGAGCAAATGCGTTTAGAATCCGTGCCAAAATGCATTCGCAAGGTTGGTGTCGAAGCGGTTGCCCAAATCGCCGTGGAAACAGCCGACATGCATGCTCCCATGCCCGAGTGCGTGGGCGCAAATGCATTTAGAATCCGTGCCGAAATGCATTCGTTAGGTTGGTGACGAAGCGGTTTGGGATGAGGGTTTGGGGTTAAGGTTTAAGGTTGAAGGTTAAGGGGCAGGGATTCGGGTTTGGGGTTTAGGGTCAAGGTTTAAGGTTTAAGGTCAAGGGGTAAGGATTCGGGTTTGGGGCTTAAGGTTAAGGTTTAAGGTTAAGGGGTAGGGATTCAGGTTCGGGGTTCAGGTTTAAGGTTTAAGGTTTAAGATGGTTTACGGTTAAGGGCTAGGGATTCGGGTTTGGGGTTTAGGGTTAAGGTTTAAGGTTTGAGGTTCAGGGGCAGGGAACCCGAGTGCAGGGAGCAAATGCGTTTAGAATCCGTGCCAAAATGCATTCGCGAGGTTGGTGACGAAGCGGTTTGCGCGTGCTCAAATCGCCGTGAAAAAGTCCAACTTGGCCCCAAGCTCCTCCCAACCCCGAGTGCGCGGGCCCGAATGCATTTAGAATCCGTGCCGAAATGCATTCGTGATGTTGGCGACGAAGCGGTTCCCAAATCGCCGTGTAACAGCCCAACATACCCCACACTCCCAAACCCGAGTGCAGGGAGCAAATGCGTTTAGAATCCGTGCCAAAATGCATTCGCGAGGTTGGTGGCGAAGCGGTTGCCCAAATCGCCGTGGAAACAGCCGACATGCATGCTCCCACGCCCGAGTGCGTGGGCGCAAATGCATTTAGAATCCGTTCCGAAATGCATTCGTTAGGTTGGTGACGAAGCGGTTTGGGATGAGGGTTTGGGGTTAAGGTTTAAGGTTGAAGGTTAAGGGGTAGGGATTCGGGTTTGGGGTTTAGGGTCAAGGTTCAAGGTTTAAGGTCAAGGGGTAAGGACTCGGGTTTGGGGCTTAAGGTTAAGGTTTAAGGTTAAGGGGTAGGGATTCAGGTTCGGGGTTCAGGTTTAAGGTTTAAGGTTTAAGATGGTTTACGGTTAAGGGCTAGGGATTCGGGTTTGGGGTTTAGGGTTAAGGTTTAAGGTTTGAGGTTCAGGGGCAGGGAACCCGAGTGCAGGGAGCAAATGCGTTTAGAATCCGTGCCAAAATGCATTCGCGAGGTCGGTGACGAAGCGGTTTGCGCGTGCTCAAATCGCCGTGAAAAAGTCCAACTTGGCCCCAAGCTCCTCCCAACCCCGAGTGCGCGGGCCCGAATGCATTTAGAATCCGTGCCGAAATGCATTCGTGATGTTGGTGACGAAGCGGTTCCCAAATCGCCGTGTAACAGCCCAACATACCCCACACTCCCAAACCCGAGTGCAGGGAGCAAATGCGTTTAGAATCCGTGCCAAAATGCATTCGCGAGGTTGGCGGCGAAGCGGTTGCCCAAATCGCCGTGTGAACAGCCGACATGCATGCTCCCACGCCCGAGTGCGTGGGCGCAAATGCATTTAGAATCCGTGCCGAAATGCATTCGTTAGGTTGGTGACGAAGCGGTTTGGGATGAGGGTTTGGGGTTAAGGTTTAAGGTTAAGGGGTAGGGATTCGGGTTTGGGGTTTAGGGTTAAGGTTTAAGGTTAAGGGGTAAGGATTCGGGTTTGGGGCTTAAGGTTAAGGTTTAAGGTTAAGGGGTAGGGATTCAGGTTTGGGGTTTAGGGTTAAGGTTTAAGATGGTTTAAGGTTAAGGGGTAGGGATTCGGGTTTGGGGTTTAGGGTTAAGGTTTAAGGTTCAGGGGCAGGGAACCCGAGTGCAGGGAGCAAATGCGTTTAGAATCCGTGCCAAAATGCATTCGCGAGGTTGGTGACGAAGCGGTTTGTGCGTGCCCAAACCGCCGTGAAAAAATCCAATTTGGCCCCATGCTCCTCCCAACCCCGAGTGCGCGGGCCCGAATGCATGTAGAATCCGTGCCGAAATGCATTCGTGATGTTGGTGACGAAGCGGTTCGTGCGTGCCCAAATCGCCGTGTAAAAGCCCAAGATACCCCGCGCTCCCAAACCCGAGTGCAGGGAGCAAATGCGTTTAGAATCCGTGCCAAAATGCATGCGCGAGGTTGGTGACGAAGCGGTTAGTGCGTGTTCAAATCGCCGTGAAAAAGCCCAACGTGGTCCATGCTCCTCCCAACCCCGAGTGCGCGGGCCCGAATGCATTTAGAATCCCTGGCGAAATGCATTCGTGAGGGTTGTGATGAAGCTGCTTGATTTGAGTTGTGGAACTCTGCAGGCGCGGCGAATGCACAACATACAAGCCATCAGCAGCAAATAATGTACAAGACTACTGGCATCATAAACTGACGTTATCGTTTTTTTTTCTTCTTATCGTTTTTCCAGCCAAAACACTATCCTTCCAACAGGCGCCCAGCGAACACAGAACGAAGAGGCGCGGGGTTATTACACAGCCCCACCTGGACTACGCATATGCCAGGAACTGAGGCACCGACTGTGCTGGGGTAGCCGTGTGGCACGAGACTCCTCAACCCTAAACCCTAAACCCCAAGCCCTCAACCCTAAACCCTCCACCCTAAAGCCTATACCCCAAATGCCCTAAACCCTAAACCCTAGACTCCAAAACCCCAAACCCCAAACCCCAAGCCCCCAACCCTACACCGTCTCCCTGGGCCTTGACAAAGGGCACCACGCCATCTGCGATCACCGCTGCCGGAGTGAGGCCGCGGAGTCCCATTCCTCGGAGGCTGTCTTGTGCCTCCTACGTATGTGTATGTATGTATGTGTATATGTATATGTATTTATAAATATGTATATGTATCTGTATATGTATATATATATATATATATACATATATATATATATATATATACATATATATATTGTCAACTCGAAACTTTGGGGCTCCGGCCCATCAGCAGCCTTCGCACCAAACCTGTTCACGGTAGGATGTGGGGCACCAAGCCTGTATTAAGCCAAGCCTCATCAACACCTGTTAGGTTTGTTTTAGCAGAAGTTTAAACAAAAGCAGGCTGCACTCAAACTTTAAGCCTTGAACCCTTTTGCAGCGGTTGTAGTCGGGCCATTAAGTTCTGGGACTTCGGCATGCCGGGTGGGTTTCGATTTTTTTCAACACTTACACTCGGACAAGGATTGCTACGGCGTCTGAGGAAGAAACAAAACCAACAACCTGCGACGCATAACCAGGCAACAACACTGAAAACCCCAAAACCCTGAACCCTGAGTGGTGAAATCATCTAGCTCGAGGACGCGACCCACTTCCGACAAAGAAACCTAAGACAAACAATAAGCAGTACGCTATACCGCAGTTCCTGCCTACGTGCTCCAGGTAAACTAGGTTGGCCCTCCAAAGCCTCTGAAAAATGTCGTAAATAGGGTCCTGTTTAAGCCCAATAAGGGAAATTACAAAATATCCTAAAGGCCTACCTCGTAAAATTTCGAACATTAGCCTGCACCTGACACTGCAGTCGAGGAGCCTCGGTGTACAAAGCTGCATGAAAGCAGCGACAAGATTCCCGACACCGGCCAAATCCAAGCCCGAAAGCTATCGAAAGCCCCAAAGCCCCACACCCTACATCCTGAAGTCCTTCAAGAACCTTACTAACCTTCTTGCCATGTTCGAGAGGCAGCCCTTGTCCTTCACTGCAATCCGAGACCCTACATCTGGATTCGTAAGCCTTGCGGTTACCAGGCACTGAGCTGAACCGCCAAAATCTGAACTACAAAGAACCATCCATGTTAATATCTGATGCCCTAACCCCCAACTTCTAAACCCGAAACCCCTGCGGACACAATCAACATGCTAAATCCTGAAGTTTCAAGGCCCTGAGCTGAAAGCCAGTATAGAACCGAACCCCAGACCCCGTAAAACATCCTATAAAGCCCACTCAGATCCCACTCAGACCTCATATAATTCAGTTGTTCCTTGGACACCCCGTGGACGCCTCTGGAGGAACCGTCATAAACGCCTGATCAGAACCAGAACCGCACTGCCAGAGGAACCCTTGAAGGGAGCAGGTCTGCCTCCCTCGTCTCCATCGAAAAGCGCAGGGGTCACTATCTTCAGATCCAAGCAATGGAGCAGCTCCTGGGGATCTCGAGACTGCTACGGGCTTTCCTCGGGATTTCTACTGGCTCCTGGTGATTTCGGGATATTTACCGGCTCAAGGCGAGTCTGAAACGGCTTTCCAAAACGTGTCAGGGTGTAAGGTTTTTGGGATTCCGGGACATTTCGGGACTGCTTTGGAATCCGATATAGGGTTGCCATGGTTCTACACGGGGTTTCACGGGCTTCAAGGTTTTTCAAGCGATTCATGAGGCTTCTATCAAGGCCCTATAAGGGTCGTGTAGGGCGATTTCAAAGTATATTCTTCACGGCGACCGACTCGCAGATTGCATCATGTCTTGGATGTCCGAAAAGACGGTAGCTCGCCTCTCCACTACGTCTCCAAACTGCCCAAAAGCTCATCACGTAAGCACAGCCAGGAAAAACATGGAAAAACAGTGCGCCCACTTGAGTCTCGTAACCGATGGCGTGAATCAACACTGCACCCTAAACCTTTACTTGGGATATACCAAGCTCTTGATTACCAATGGAATCCTGCGTCTATCGTACATCAATGTGCTAGGGGTGGGATTCTCTTCCTTTGCGCGAACCTTCGAATGATGATGATGGACAATCTTTTGTCTAGGCAGGATAATTATGATGAATCAAGTGCTCCGATCCTTGGCCCTTCTACTTCGACGTCCCACGGGCGTCGGCTGTAAAGACTGAATTGTGTGAGCGCCTAAGCCCTCGAGTAGGCCGAAGACTCCTATCACTCAAACCTCTAAATACGCACCTCGGGAACACCTTGGGCAGCATCTGGCAAGAACCTCAGCACGCTGAAGTGCCAAGCAGGGTCACAAACAGACATGTGATAGGTTCAACTTTTCAGCGTTCAGGGTTTCCGCCAACGTTCACATGTTGGCAAGAGCCTGCTTCTGCTGAGTCTAGCTGCAATGCCTGGCAGCTAGAAACCCCCAGCAGCATTCCCAAACACGTGCCAGATGCCACTATGTCCCCCGTCCCTTACATCAGACGCCTCATCTCCGAACCCCACATATCACCGGCATTATCCAGATTAACGCCCTGATAGAGACTTCACGGACCCATACAAAATCCGTTATAGAAGCCAAGGCACGGCAAAAAGTCTTAAGCCTTTAAGCCTGTCTAAAGCCATTACATCCAGAAGAAAATTTTCCAGATAGCCTACTAAAGTGTCCCCACCCCAAAACAAGCAATGGCGCACAACCCCATAAACTTTGAGAAGGGCCCTTTAGAATATGAAAGGTAACTCCAAACATAACTCTAAGACACTAAGAAACAAAAGGGTCCATATATACAACCACGGCAATACTGCTCTCACGGAGTTAGGCCCCGAAACCATAATAAGGATGGCTTTGGGGCATAATCATAAACCCTAAAGCCACATCATAAAGCACTATCCTCCAAACCGATAAAGCCCCTAAACCCTAAAGCCCTCTCCCTTGCTTGCTTGCTTAAGAGTCTGGGGACATGACAAGTCCCCTGACCCACCCCCTCCACGGTCCGCAGTGGATATCGGAAAGGCCCTATTCGGGGCTGTGAGTTCGTTCCCTGACTCTGCCCCACGAAGAACACCCTTCCTAAACCTTCGCTCTCCCTCTCTCTCTCTCTCTCCCTCTCTCTCTGTCTCTGTCTCTTCTCCCACACCGTCACTAAAGCCCTAAACCCCAAACCCTAACCAGCCCCTATTCTGCAGACTCATAAAGCCATGCCACAGCCCTGCATCGGCAGCCGCGGCAGGCTCGGCGCCGAGGCGACGCAGGGACAAAAGCCGCAGAGTGCGGAGACGCCTCGGAATTACGGGTCCTTCTTTTACGTTTACCTAGACCCCCCAACTACCCTTTATTGTAGCCCCTAATTACCCCTTCATGAGAAATATCTGAGCCCTTTACAAGGTACTTGGCGGGTCCTGGTAAGGTTTGGGGTTTAGAGGTTAGGGTTCAGGGTTCCGGCGCTCAGTCTTGGCGATTGGTCGGTGGTGAAACATATGTCGTCAACCAACATCGAAAGTAGGTTGAAGCTTTGCGTAGGGTCTATGATTTCGGATTTGAGTGCGGCTTTTAGTTTGCGTTTGGCAGGTCTCAGCGGTTCAGGATTTTGGGGCTTGGTCAAAGCTTTTACAGGGGTATAGTACCTTCCAGAGGGTGTTATGAACTGTAGGGCGTTGTAGAACGGTATGGGGCATGTAGGGATTGATGGACTTGCCTTATTATGGTAGATTGTATATAGGGTTTTTAGGAGGGCTCAGTTAATTCATGGTCTTCGGATTTTTGGTTTGTAGGTTTATGCCCTGTGGGTGGAGTGACTTCGAACCCTACAGCCTGCAGTTCAGGGCCCCTTGCCCATAAACGCTAGAGACCCCCTACGGCGCTAAAGTATATTGAAGGGAGTGGGTGCAGCGCCCGCGGGCTTGTGGCAGAAGCGCTGCTTCCTACAAAAGAACCGTTCCGAAACCTTCCAAGCCCTCACTGCATCCCATTACAAACCCTGAGACATGCAGTAACGCACATTACAAGTAAGAGAACTGTTCAACAAAGAGTATCAGGCAGAATCGCTAAGTGTTAAGAACCCTGAACCCCTGCCGAAGTTGACTACGAAACCCGGCTTCTGACCTCACCCTGCCATTCGCCGTCTCCATGCCGGAAAGGTCCTGCATCACAGGATTCGACTTCTGGAACCGGACCTCCTAAAAAAATGTTGACAGTCCGGGCCTGGGATTCCCTGGTAATTATAGGGCTTCGGGTCGACACCTTACAGAAGTCTCCGCAAGAAGAGTCAGGTCTGGCCTGTGCACCGCTTCCATAGATCAGGCGGTACCTTGCTCGGAGGCTTCAGGATCGCAGATTCAAAGGCGCAGGGCTTAGGGTTATAGGGCTTTGGGATCTCGGCCTTCAGACGTCTCATAGTTTGTAAGCGGCTCGGAGAGAAGAAGGTGCGGACATCCAGGCTTTGAGGAAAAGCATGAATCCGAGGAGCGACACCCCGATCCAAAAAAGCGGATCACCCAGGGCTCTGACAAGACTTCTCACACGTCCCATAGCCATAGCTACCGGTGTTTTTGGTTTTGCATAGAAGGCTGCAATGTTTACGAGTTTGGGCCGCAGAGTACAGGGTTTAGGGCTTACCTGAACCCGGAATAACCTACCGTAAGGACTTAGAAAAGGAAATCATAACAAGGAACCCTACTCGTACAAAGGTGGGTTCTTCAGGGTCCAGGTAGGGTTTAGGACTCCGGGGCCAAAATCTTAGCCCAGTTGCGCCAAGGCTAAACTCTGGCGCAGGAAGTCGACGTCTGTCAAGCGAGCTGCCTGCTGCAGCGGAATAAGATTATAGGGTTTAGGCTTGTTGGGTTTACGGTCTAGGGTTTCGGGGTTTTGGGTGTAGGGTGTCGGGGTTTAGGGTTTCCCTCTTTAGGGTTTAAGGTTCAGATAGTTTGCAGTCTCAGGTGCTGGTGGTGTAGCCAGAGAGACGATACCTCCATCCCGAGCCCTCGCTCCGTGGATAGTTTTGCACATTAAATGCCCCTTGCAGGGTTTAGGGTAGGGTTTTAGGGTTTAGAGTTTAGGGTTGCCATGTTGATAGTACACTCCGATTGAAGACACTGCTTGAACGTCTGTTTTAGGATTCGTGGCCTTTCTTGGCAAATCTTTGAGCGACGGCCTGCGACATGCGCTGCAAAACGATGAAGAGCACGTCAAACGCGCTTTCGTGAGTCCTGAGATCTAGTACTGTTATCTTGGAAGGCGTGCAGGTCTTCGTGTCATCCACAAGACCAAAGCCTAGACCCTCTTAACAAACATGCAAACCTTCCCGAACCCCCCCCCCTCCCGAACACGAAACCCTCGCCGAAATCGGCCAGCTACGGGGAAGTCTACATACGAGTGCGTTCGTCAGGAAGATTAAGTTCCCTGTCAGGAAACCAGTACAGGAGCCACCCATCTAAGCCGCAAAGGCCATGCCAAAGAACATCATCTTTAGAGGGTTTTTCAGGGTGTTGTTGGATGTTGAAAGCATTTGCATAGCGTTTTGGGAATGGGTTAGAAAGGCGTAGAGACTGATAAAGGGATTTGTGAGTGCAGCCGTGGGGCTTTAGGGTGTAGTGGTTCAAGGGTCTTGGGAGCTAGGGATGTAAGTGTCAATTTTCAGGTTTAGGGTTGAGAGCTGATTGGTTTAAGGCTTCATTGAGTCGCAAGCTCTCAACCAACGCTCCAGATTCCAGGGCCCCACTTAAAACAAAGTGCCTTCGAGATCTTAGGAACTCCAATCAACCCAAAACCCAAAACTGGAGACTAAGAGTTTGAGTTTTAAGCTGCTCGTGGCAAGGGACCCGGAATTTTGTTGGAAGCCGTCCTCGATCTAGAACAACTTTCCGGCCTGTTTATTGTAAAAGAAACGAACCTAGGCTGCAAGTCAACGAGAAGCCAAATTCCAGCTCCGGAGACCACGAGATATGCTGTGGGGTCCGAAGCCCAAACCGTTAAGTTCAGGGTAGATGTGTGGTTTCGGCACTCACACCCTGACAATCGAGTCGGCTGAGTGGAACGGGTTTGGGGTTTAATGCAGGGTTCCGGGTTTCGGGGTCAAGGACCACCTTCCTTGTCAACCGAATAGCTGCAACAAGGAATCTTCACCCCGAGTTGGCGAAGGGTAGCCGGGGAGAGTCCAACGAACTCCGAGTGCAGATAGCCTTGGCCAGATAAGAAGAGCTTGTCTCTGGAGGTCGAACCGAGAATCTTGGCATGCAGGTTTCAGGAATTTTCAGGCTAAACATGAGGCGATAAGGCGCGAACACGATGGCATAACATGGTGCTGAGATCTGATGGGCCTGAAGCTACTTCTTGGGACGAGGGTGGGGGGGGAGCGATCCAAACCCCAAAGCCACAGCCAAGCGCGCAATAATGCACCCTGAACTGACCCATAGCGTGAAAGCCAAAAGTGGAACATCACTATTCCCAGCATGCTGAAGGCAAGGTAAGCGCTACTCATCCCCAAAACACAACATGGGGGGTTTCCGAAAATAGGGGACCCTAATATAGTACCCTAAATAGGTAGGATCCTTATCATAAGGACCCCAAAATCAGGTACCCCCAATTTTCGGAAGCTCCCACATGTCCTAGAAGGCTTCCAAAAATGATGTCGGCGGGCCCTGTGTTGGGCAATCTTGATGGGAGAAGATTCTTGGGGTAGGGATTCCTTAATATGAACCCTATAGTAGGGATTCCTTATTATGAACCCTATTATGGGAACCCTAATCCCTACTAAACCCCCATAGGCTAAAACCCCTTTCGGCCTCCTATGACCTATGAAATCTGGGGCGCCAGTTGCATTCGGAGTCCAAGCGGCAGAGGCCATCGTGGAATTCCGACAGAAGCTCTTGCGGTATGACCTTCTTCATTTCCACCTCCTTGAATGTAAGGGGCAAGGTTCAGCACAAGATGTGTAGGGCTTCGGCGCATTCTGCTTAAAGGCTCAGGGCTGTTGGGAGACCTCGGGCGTGAGATGGAGTTCAGTCGGAGCCTCGCATTGATCAGGGTTTTTTGTCTTTCGACGCCCTCATTGCAAGTGCGTTTAGGGTCGCTGATTTCCGCAACGGCATTTCTCATGATGTCATGTTCCTTCAGCCTAAGACACTCACAGGATCAAGCATCCTGCGCACCGTACTTCCAGGTTTAGGGCTTATCTCCCTGTCAGCTTTCCCGAAGTGCTACAGTACTCACAGCGCCACAACAGCGGCAGCCGTGGCAAAAAGATCAGGAGGTATTGTGCAAGTCTGTTTGCCTGACAATCATGGCAGTGGCCCAGACAACATCAATTCTCACCGTCGTCGGCATTATCGTCGGCGTCGCCACCATGACCACTGGCACATGCATTGAACAACTCACCTCAAATGCTTTGATGAGGAAAGCATGCTATCGTCCTATTTAGGAACTTCGGCAAAGTATAGGCCCGGATGTGGGCATCAGATACGTAGGGTCTTTTCGTGAAGACCCCAACATAGACATAGTTGTCATGAGCCACCATTTCCAGTATAAAAATTCCAACACACAACCCTGTTGACTCATTTTCCGCTTTTGAAACTTTTGAATGACTTCCAAATCGCATACCTCAAGAAAACAAAATAGAATCCTCCATCTGGTGCCGCCGAAGAGGCGGATGGTGCCTCGAAGGCCCTTGGCGGCTCCAACCATCGTCCATCTGCCGCCCTGGGCTCATACCAACACTTTGGGTCTTCAGAGAGGGCTAAAACCAGGCGGGGACGCAAGACCTCGAACACAGTACGCCATGCTACGAATGTAGCAGGGTTCGGGTAGGCCTCCGTGAGCAAGCTAGAAAACATCTTGGCGGTGGGTACGTGCTGTAGGCTGTAACCAACCAGGGTCCCCCCGCTGTGCCGGGGCCCCTAGTTACTACTGCACCCCCTTACACTTTCAACCCACTCTTCAGTTGCGGTGCAGTACACACCTCTCCGACTGCAGCTGCTGCCAGATATGGTTCTCGGTGCCTGGATCAGGATTTTGGCTTTGCGGTTTAGGGCCGGTTTAGGGTTTGGGGTTCAGGGTCTAGGGTTTAGGAGACCCTTCAAAACTGAACCTTGCAGTGTGCTTGAGGATTCTGGCACGAGACTGGCAGTAGACTCAGTATGACTCAGTAGACGGATGAAGCTTATACAAGACCTTCGTGCTTGCCAAGGCTCCATCAACCAACAGGGAACCTGTGTTCTCATCAGTATGAGCCCTTCACCTATCTGTCCGAAACGCCGCTTGTTCACCTGTGTGTTGCAGCAGGATACACAAACAACGACTTTTAGCGGCTCCGGGTTGTAAAGTTATGCATGTCCATATAGCTGCATATATAGATGCGGCAATGGTTGCACGGATGCAGATGCACGTGCAGGAAACGCAGGTTTTGATGAGTGTCTTCGTGAGTGGGCTGTCGAACACCCTTTAACATTTAGGCTTTGGTTTCGATTTAGGGTTTAGGGTTTAGGGGACTTGGGTTCATCCGGATCTGTTGGCCTTGAATGCCACAGGGATCTGTCTGATTGGAAGAGTGCCTTGGTGGGCTTAGGGGTTAGGAGTTTAGGGTTTAGGGCTTTCATGCTGTTTAGGGTTTAGGGTTTAGGGTTTGGTTGGTATGTTGTCGCTCTTGGGTATCGATGAGCAGAAAACAATAGAAACGCAGAAACACTGTACTGCGGGGGCTCGGAGCCCATACGACTCTGCCCCATAAACCCCCCCAAGTGCCCGTCACGTGCCTCCGAAGAAATCACTACTGAGGCTGCTTCCGCCGCCCAAGTCCTTGGCTGCAGCCGCAACGCTCGCACAGAGCCAAAATCTCCACCAGTAAGGCACATGGGAGTTTCCGAAAATTAGGGATACCTTGTTTTGGGGTCCTTACAATAAGGATCCTGCTATCTAGGGTGCTATATGAGGGTTGTTGAAGAAGGCTCTACCTGGAGAATATACCTTATCTTTTAAAAGGTTTTGTCTTCACTGAAGACAGCTTCCCCAACAACGGGTCAATGGGGTGTTGGGCTCTCTGGGCTTTCTGCGTGCTACATTTCCGTGCAACGACTCTGGAGATCGTGACTGCTATGAATCACTGACAACATCTCCACCTGCCAATCCGAAGGTGGACCCTCACCTCCCCCCTCTCCCTCCTACCGCTTTTGTGTCCCCAGCACCGAGTGTGCCAGAAAGCATCTTGAGTCCAGGACTCTCCGCCCTCAGCTCCCGACGGTCCGACACACGGCAATTTTGAAGCCACAGCCTATACTCACGTAAACTCTTCATCCGAATTATCGACCTTAAACCAAACATCCTACAAGCCTTACGCGAAACCTGTCGAGGCGTCGGGGTGTGACCAAGTCACCCTAAGCCTTCAGCACGCCATGGCCCCTCAGTGCACGGGCTCCCCGCTGAAGCAAGGCAGGTCCGGCGGAAGCCTTCGAAATGGACTGCAAGAGTGTAGAGTGCAGGGTTCTTCACGGTTTAAGGTTCAGCATTTACAGGGTAGAAGCTCATGTCAAGGCTCGAGGGATGTACCGGGAGAACCCAGGCAGTAGTTAAGTCTTGGGGTTTGAATTCGTTTAAGGGCTTCGGATGTGTAGCTGCCCATGTGAGGAAACGACAACAAGCTTAGGACCCTCAGTGTCTGAAAAGCCCAAACCACTTCCAGTGCACATGACATTACGGTTTGAGGTCGAAGAGGCGCGAGGGAGACAAGCCTGTTGTGCTGGTCATACAAGGGCTGGTGGAAAGAATCCCATTAGAAAAACAACCGCTTCACAGAATCCAACCAACCAACGTCTCGAACAACCCTGTCCAATCCTGGGCACTGACAGCCCGAAATCTCCAAACCATACGGCCGAAAAAAGCACAAACCATACAAACAAAGTTCAAAGCCCTAGTCCAAAATCACAGCCACAGCACAAAACGCGAAGACCATCCACAAAAACAGCAGCCAAGTGGCATCCAGAGCCGTGAGGGCCTCCTTCAATCCATCAATCTCCTGCTGGCGCTTCGCCTGCCTGTGCAAGTATGAGGGATTGAGGCCTGTATGGGTTCTTCTTTGAGGCTCCTTAAGAGCTACCAAAATGGCTTCTGGTTTAGAGGTTTGGGTTTCAGTTTAGAGCCTTAGGTCTCCTTTTGCTATGAAGAGCCTAACATCCACCTGAAGCGCTAGATGCTGAGCCTCACAACTGGCAAACGAATGGTAGACCCATGGGGCATCATTACTTGCGGAGCCTTCGTGTCAGCTGCATAGTTCTACCTCAACGTAAAACATTGAACGCATCCCGGTTGCCCTGTGTTGGCACCCAAAAACCCCAGACCATAAACTCTAAAACCCGAATCCTAATCCCCCTTGCCTCTGGACCCCCAAACCCGAGACCACAAACCCGTCCAAACCTTAGCAGGCCTTGCAGAAAAAACAACACTCGTATTTAGGACCCTGAGTGGTAGGTTCCATGTGGGTAACTCTTGTCCCGAATCAGTGCACGGTGATTCTTCTTCAAACTGGCGGGCCGGGATGGCTCATTCAAGCGTCCTTGGGTTCTGAGGGTCCACGTTACTCACCATAAGTGGGACCACTCGAAAATACAGAAGTCCCCGAATCCCAAACCCCAAGTCCCACCTTCCACCTGTGCAAAGCACATAGTGGGTCCCTTTTGCAACTGGCTTGCAACGTCACGCCAGGACAGCTGTGAAACACCCTAAACCCCCAAAGCCCTGATCCTTGAACCCCAAACCAAAAAGTTTAAGCCCCTGAGCTCGCAGCTATAAAGCCTAGGTGCTTCTCCGCGAAAGACTCTGGGGTGACAAGGCATTCGGCTTCCAGTCCCTGCATAGAGCGACGGAGGTTGGTTTACGGCTCTTAGGGCTCAAGACTCTGGATTCGGAATTTGCGGATTTGGGGCTCGAGTTTAGAGCTTGGGCAGTGGGCGGTCTTTAGACTCCACCAGGCAAAGGCACCACTCTGGCACCACTCAACACAGGTCTGGAATGCTCCTCACTTGTAGAATGAACGACAAAACGCTTATCTGCTCGTCTATTCGACGGACATGGAAAAGACTGCCCGGCTGAGGCATCAAAGGGATTCTGCAAAGAAGTGCTGGTAAAAACGTTTGCTACATTTGGCGGTGGGCCTCTGTCACTCTATTTATGTGTTCTCTCTTGCGTCTCCACAGCCCACCAGGTACCCTGAAACAGTAAATTCCCCACAGATGCCACCCCAAACGAAGCCCTCAAATTCCAGCTACTCTACCAGACACTCCGCACCCCTTCATCCTGAAGCATTAACCTCCCCTCGAGCCAAAACCGTAAGACATAAACCCTGCATCCTCAAACCCAAAACTTCAACACCAAACCCTAAATCCCACATTCGGAAATCCAAACTTCGTAAATCCCACGGCGTGGAACCCAAACTTCGGTCCAGCATTCCAGTCCCTCAACCTGTAAATAAACCCTTACACGCCGAAAAGGTTCCCTAACCCGAAAACTTCTGCAAAAAGACACTCTATATATATATATATACACACATACATACATGTATGTATATATATATATACATACATACATATATATATATATACACACATAAACCTGATAATTAAGAACCCAAGAAAAGCCCACAGCAAAACCCTACAAACCCCTGAAAAGCCCCTGTGAAGCCCTCCTTGGTGAACTCGAGGATGGCACCCATCTCGGTCCTTGGCGCGGGAAAACTCATCCTTGACGTGGGATGTGATTAGCTTTGGTCTCCTATGATTAGTGTGTGTTTTCGTTGGGGCCTCTTTCTATTCCGCCGATGGTCCGGAGAGCCTCGATTGAGGCAGGCCTTGGAAAAGCAACCCTCTCTCATTAGTGTTTCGACGCTCACACTCGCACGCAGCAGGCAAGGCTCCACATAGTCCACAGTATCTCCACTAGTGTAACGTTTAGGGTTTAGGGTTTCGGGGTTTTAAGCTCCTATCTTTTTCCCTCCTGCCTATCAAGGACGAAGCCCGCACTGCAGGCTCCTGTGGTCAGTGCTTATGGTTTAAGGGCTTTTAGGATGTCTTATCAGGAGTCTTTAGGCTTTCGGCACCTTCTTACCGGTCTTACAAGAAGCCCCTTTGGGGTTCTAGAAGGCCTTGAGTGCAATCGCAAATTTAGAGCTGAAAGGAGGCTCAGGGTGCGTAGCAAGGAGCTCGTGTGTAGAATTTTGAGTTAACGGCTCCCTAAATGAATTATCCTGCTTGGAGCCCACCTAAAACCTGTTTACAAAGTCCCCTGATCCGTAAAGCCCTAAACCTCCAAAAACCCATAGAGCTCCGACAGTAGAGGATCCGAGCAGAAAGCCTGAAAGCCAAAGGCCGTTTGGAGACTTCCGGCTGGTTTTGGGGTTTAGGGTTTAAGGTTTCTCTGGGCTCGAAAGGAACCTGCAAGACTTGAGATATCATAAGCAGGACTGATTGATAGCATATAGCAAGTTGCCAAGGAACCTAATGTGAGGGAGCGGCAAATATCAAACAGCCAATTATCATCAATAACATGCTTGCAGCTGCGCGGCTGCATGCTCTCCTGGTCGGAGCTCAGCTCAGTGAGCTCTGAGTCCAGGCGCTGAGCTTCAGCAGTCTTATAGTCGATGTCCTTTCGTAGGGGTTCAAGGGTTAAGGGGTGGAGGTTAGAGGGTTACTTAAGGTCTGGCAAGTGGAAGGCTCTTGGATATGGGGCGTTTAGCTGGGTTAGGGCCATTTTCGGGAGCTCATGATCGATGCCCTTTCAAGGTCTGCGACTGCTGCAGTTGACGTCACAGGGCTTTGCGGTTGGGTCCTGCAGCTGGTGCCCCCAAAGGCGTAGGCGTAAAGTTGCAGGTGCCGAGCAGTTGAGATTCGTTTCAGACACAGTCTAGAGACTAACTAAAGAAGATATCCATATTCCATCTTATCACCATTGCCGTGACGGGTGCAGCTATCCTTAAAACCAAAAAACCCCTTCACCCGCGTATCCTAGCCCCCCTGTAAACACAAAGCCAAGAAAAGGTGAAGGTTGGAGAATCCCAAACTAAACCCAGACATGGAAAGGACTACTTGGAGGATCATGGGACTTAGTAAGTATGGTAATACGTACCTTGATTGGGGTTATAAGTAGTTAGTTAACCATAATAGTAACCCTAGTGACTAAGTCCCATGATCCTCCAAGTACCCGTAAGCACCATCCTTAGAAGGAATGGGGCAGTGGATGGAGAAACCCGGACCCCTAGATCCACCAGTCACCAGCCCTTACACAATTTTACACGTGGACTACGCATATGCCAGGAACTGAGGCTCAGGGAACCCTTAAACCCTAAACCCTACGTAATAGCTTAAGGAACCTTAAGCTCAAAACCCTAAGTCCTATTTCCTGAACCATACTTAATCCCTAATGCCCAAACCCCAAACCCAAAATTTCAACCCAAGTGCTCATCCCCAAAGCCCCGGGATGCCCCAAAGCCCTGAAACCCAAGAGCTCCTTCTCCTTCTGGGTCTTCTCAAGCTTCATGTCCTGAGGTTCAGGGTTGTTGGGGTTTAGGCGGGTGTAGTGTTTTAGGTGTAGGGCTTTAGGTGTTTAGGGTTCAGGGTTACGACTACGGTTCAGGGTTTAGGGCCTAGCTCGGGTTTGCCGACCTCTGATTAGGAAAAATACCTCCCCTAACAGGGATGACTCGGGGTAAGTCCTGATAAGTTTGGGGGGTTGGGGCTGCGGGTGTACTTCGGTGGAGTATCGAACAAGGAACCGCCAGGGAATGATGTTGGCACTTATCAGACCGCAATAGT